TTTATTCTCCTTTTCATTCTGCTGAATCATAGCCTGTCCATTTCCCATGACAAGTAAGTACAATAGACAAAATCTGCCCTGACAAAATAAGCGACCTTATGAAGTACTTTTCAAAAGATTGTTTACTTTCTAAAGCTTAGGCTATTGAGTCTCACATTAACAATGTGGATATTGAAAATATTTTGATATCTAAAATTCAAGTCATACTCATATTTTCAGAGGCATATCACCAGGTAAAGACAAGTGTATTTTTGTCCCAAACTCCACAACAACAAAACTTTAAAGAGAATTAATGTTGTCTAAATGAACTTGGGGTTTAGATAGAAAATGCAAGTCCTTCTCCCTAAGTCCTGGCTTTGGGACTCGCGCTTTTAATGAGTCCTGTGTGTTTCTATTCACAGCCATGACAGAACTACTTCCATCCATTGCTGGGACCATTGAGTTTCATTAGTCTGATTCCTGGCTATGTCCACTTCCCATGCAGCCTGGGATGGACCAAGAGCTCTCAACTTTCATTCAGCATACACAACCAAAGTATCTCTTACCACTGTGATGACCAAACGAGTGTGCACACATGCACACATCCACCATACACACAACAAACATATAAGTGAACCTTAAAACTCATGAAGCAATGCTACCTTTTCTATGTATAATGCACGTTGATGTTTTTTGTTTTCTTCTATTTTATTCTTTAAATTGGTGAATTTCACAATACACTAAAGGTTGTCTTGCATATTTAAAAATAAAGAAAACCGCTAATATAGAAAATAAAGCCTTGATTTTGGTTTCGAATAGAAGTGGGTTCGAATCCCAGATCCAACAGTTACTTTAGGTAAGTGACTCTGGAAACCTCAGTAGTCTCAACTGTAAAATTTAGAGTAATTACAGAGTCTATCTCAGGTGATTTTTGTAGGGTAAAATGAAGATAAATAGGTGAGAATGGCCATTGTATGAAGACAGTGAACAAATGTTAGATCCAGTCCTTATACTGTAGAGTTAAGGCAGTAACGTTGACTTTTCTAGATTAAAAAAATGTACCAAGTATAGGTAGAATGTAGGAGTCCAAAAAAGGGAAGAAAATAGTATCCTGTGCTTGTGGAAAGAATTAGGGTCTTTTGAGCTACATGTAAGCGAGTCTCAGCCTTAATTTCAGCCTTTGAACAAATGCATCATAACAGCCAAGGGGCTGAGGACTGACTGCTCCCTCCTCCTCCTCCCTTTCAGGAAGTCCTCTGGCTTCAAGGCTCCTCACAGGCTCCTGGCCTGTACCTGGTGAGGTGCCAGCCTCACCCCTTTTCAGTCCTGAGTGTGTATTTCCAGGTCCATCATTAAATGGAGCATGACTGTGGACATGTCATTCATGCTCCGCATGTTGGTTTCATGAACTGAATAATGGGTATAATAACAACTAGTGCATAGGAATGTTATGAGGATCAAAGATGTAATGTGTCCAAAGGGACTAGTACTGAGTCAGAATCATTAGGAGATTATTAGGAGATATTAGTTCCCTAATCCTTCCCCTTTCCCCTAACACCCACACATGCATCCTTACCATAGATTCTCACCCATTAGCCTGCCTAGACAATCAGATTTTTCACAATAGAGATATGAGAATGGCATGGAGCAATGTTCTAGGGTTCACTACTGATGGGTGAAAATTCAGGCCCAGGAAGACTGTCTAGGGACTGTCCAAGTCTGCCACGAAGAAGGTGGATGCTCCTTCAGCACTGTTGGTGCTGCTCAAGCACACATCATAAAGTATATTTTTGCTTGTGTCGTTTCCTTCCTTCCTTCCTTCCTTCCTTCCTTCCTTCCTTCCTTCCTTCCTTCCTTCCTTCCTTCTTTCATGTATGTTTAGAGAAACCAGACGACTGCATCATGGCGGGGAAGCCCAGGCTTCACTACTACAATGGACGAGGTCGAATGGATTCCATCCACTGGCTCCTGGCTGCAGCTGGAGTAGAGGTCAGTTCTGAGTTCTGTCATCTTAAGTGGGATCTAAAATTGACTGTATCATAATACTTTCTCTCAAAGCCAAGAAACTTTTCTTCCTAAGTAACCAGTCAGGAGTTTAGCATTAAAACAAAAACTGTCAATTTTTTTGTTTTGTTTTGTTTTAAAATATTTTTTATTGTGAAATACACATTTTTTAGAATTAGTTTCATCTGTACAACACAGTGCAATAGTTATACTTTTTACCCCTCGAGGTGACAACCCCCCTCCCCCATAAAACTGTCAGTTATTAAGAGATGAACAGATTTGACCTAATATATTATTAAAAATTTCTTCTCAGCAAAGAACATAAACAATCAAAATAACTTTAAGAAACGAATTGAAATTGTGGATCTTATTTGGATTTGGACTTAATTAAACAAACTGTATAATATCATTTGTAATGTTATGCAACATTAGAAATTGGAACATTGATTGAATATTAGGTAATGTTAAACAATTATTGTTGATATTTTAGGCATGATAATGTATTGTGCTTATTTTTTAAATTCTTCTTATGTTTTAGAGGTACAGATTAAAGTATTTAAAGATGAAATATATGATATCTAGAATATGCTTCAAATTATAACCAGAGTGGGAGAGTGAGAGCATAAACAACATTAAAAAGTTGACTTGAGTTGATATTTATTGAAGCTAGGTGATGGGTATAACGAGGAACATTTTCTGTTTATTTTTAGGCACGCTAGAAATTTCCATATTAAAAGATATTAGATATTACAAAATAAATGTAAAGTTAAAGCATAAACCAGAAATATGGGGAAAGCAGGTTGTAAGAAACTTCCTGTTGAAGATTTAATACAACCACTCAGCAATGATTTTGTTGAACACTTTTAAGTGCAGGTTTTGTGGTAGGTCATGGATGAAGTCAGGAGACCTTGTCCCTCAATTAGAGCAGTAAAGGAGAGTTTGGGTGAGGTGCCATTGTGTGACAGGAGCTTCTAGTTTGTTCCCTTCAGCCTCATAATGCTATGTTTATCTCAGCCTTTAATTATACTTCCCTGGTAGGTCATGGATGAAGTCAGGAGACTTTGTCCCTCAATTAGAGCAGTAAAGGAGAGTTTGGGTGAGGTGCCATCGTGTGACAGGAGCTTCTAGTTTGTTCCCTTCAACCTCATAATGCCATGTTTATCTCAGCCTTTAATTATACTTCCCTGATTGCTTTGTTAATGTACGTGGACTTCAGCACAGCCCTTTCTTAGTTTCATGAAGAAACAAATACACTGAAAATACAAATAGTGCCATTCCAGGTTTTTTTCTCCCTATAAACCAATAACCCAAAGTTTTCACTGTGGTCCAGACCTCAGCTTTGAGGTTCAGGGATGTGTTCAGAGCCCCTGGGCAGGAAGAACTCAGCACAGGAGGGGGAGTAGAGGCGATGCTGAGAGCATCCCAGGCTTCCTTTAGTCCATTCCAGTTTGGCTGAAGAGGGTGTGTGAGTCAACGACTTACCAGACTTTTAAATTACTGAATTTAGTTGAACAATAGAGCACCTTTCACCAGCGCACCAATGATAGATTGCTTTAAAAGTAAAAAAAATAAAAAAATAAAAAAAGGAGTTCGTCGACTGGCTCAGTTGGTTAAGAGCATGAGCTCTGAGCAATGAGGTCGCCAGTTTGATTTCGACATGGGCCAGTGATCTGCACCCGAGCTGAGCTGCTGCTGAGCTGCCAACAGGTGGCAGGATGTCTCAGCTGCCTAACAACAAGGTTGCTGGTTCGACATCCACATGGGATGGTGGGCTGCACCCTGCCCCACACCCTCCCAGTCAACGAAGATTGAACATGGCACCTTGAGCTGAGGGGCTGCATTTTGCCAATGGGCGGCTGGATGGCGACTGGACTTGGAGCTGAGCTAGCTGCACCCTCCACAATTAAGATCGAAGGACAACAACTTGGCTGTTCCCCTTTCCCAATTCCCCAACACTGTACCCCATCCCAATTCCCTAACAAAAATCTAAAAAAAAAAAAAATGGATGGTATAATGAAACAGCAGCCATCTTTACTTAATGACAATGAATGTTTATTGAGCCCTTAGTGTGTACTCAGTACTGTTCAAAGGCCTTTGCATACTTTACTGATTTAATCTACACATCAACTTATAACATAGGTACTCTAACTATACCCATTTTATGAATGAGGAGACTGAGACACAGAGATTCAGTAATGTGCTCAAGTTCAAGAAGCCAGTACATGAAAGAGGCGACATTCACATGCAGGCAGTTATATCAGAAACCAAAGTTTCGTTTGTTTGTTAAAATAAAAAATACTAGTTTTCCTTTTCTTAAGTTAGGAATTCCACCTAGTGTGTACCATGTTTTTCCAGAAGAAAGAATTCTGGTTTGAAAGAGTTTAAGGTGTGCAGCAAACAGGACTCATTCCACCTTTAGTGGGCCCATATAGAATGGAGGGATGCAAATGACAGCAGAGGCCTCTGGTGGCAGCATCTTAGGTGGTCATTGGCCCCCATGACATACCCCATGCTGGGGACACATAATGTCTGTCCTGACTCAGGTGGAGAGAAGGGCTTTCCTGACATACTCAAACTCCTTCACTAGAAGGACTTTCCAATTTCTTCTCTTCAATAACACCCCCTCCCAAATCTGGACCTAATTATCTTTGGAGATGAAAACAGGGTGAATTGAACCTCCAAATATGAGCAGTTACGAGCTACAGCCCATGATCTTTGCTTGATGGCTCTAATCCATATGTGCAAATGCCTATGATCGCCCTCCTCTGTGTACCCTGCCAAAGTCAGAAATCTTACCTCCTCCACATTATGCACCAGACACAAGTCATTCGAGGGTTAAAAGTTCCTTCGTGCTCTGGAGTGAATTACAAGAACTCACTTACTGTTTTTGCTTTTTAGTTTGAAGAGAAATTTATAGAAACCCCAGAAGACTTGGAAAAGTTAAGCAATGGTAAGGCAAAGTACTTAAATTCCTCTGATCTAGTAGAAGTCATAGTCGAGGTTTTATACCACACAATGCCCATGTGTATGTATGTATGGCGGGGGTTTGGGGTGGTGAAGAGACAAAAAGTGGGCCGGCCAAGTAGCGCATTGGTTAAGAGCTGGCTTGGGATGCCAGCTCAGAGAGCAGGGCCCTGGTTCGGATCCCACATGGGGGCCAGCGACGCTGTACCCTGTACAGCTAACATGGTGAGCAGCAGCTCGACCTGGAGCTGGGCTTCCATGAGTCGCTGGCGACGGCGTAGGCTACAGTGGGGCTGCAGTGGGCTGCCATAAGCTACTGTGTGTGGCCGGCAGCCAGCATGAGCGGCCAGCAGCCGGTGTGACCTGCCAAGAGCCGCTGTGAGCGGCCGTCCAGAGGCTGACGACCGATCTGCCTCACCCGGGAAGAGCACAATGATAATACCAACATGGGCCAGTGAAGTAACGTCCTCCACAACTAGACTGAAGAACAAAAGGACAGTAAATCTCTGTTCCCCTTCCTCCAATTCCCCAAAAAATCTTAAAAAAAAAATAGAGAGACAAAAAGTGGTTCAAATGTAAGAGATGGGGTTCTTCAAGCTGGTCTTATACTTCACTCAGGCCTGGGAAGGGCTTGGCCTCTCTGAGTACTGCCTAAAGGAGCAATTCATGGTGTCCTTGAATGCCTTCTCTTTGCTTTCTCCTGCTGTTCTGTACTGTGAATGAGCTGTGTCAGTTCAGGACCCCACGCAGCCTTCCTATCCAAGGACACACAGACGTATGCATCAAGGTGACAAGAGTAGAAATAGACCCAGCATTTGCCTCGGGTTATGTTTCATGGGTTATTACATGGTAATATCTTGGCAGTATTACAGCAGGCTAAAACAAAACGTTATTTCCATTGAAATGTTACCAGGTAATAATTTCTTTCTTTCATATCTTTATTTCAACAAACAAAAAGTATTCATCCACAAGACATTTCACTTTTTCTTTTCTTCCTTCAAAAGATGGCAGTTTGATGTTCCAGCAAGTGCCAATGGTCGAAATTGATGGGATGAAGCTGGTACAGAGCAGAGCCATAATCAACTACATTGCCAGCAAATACAACCTCTATGGGAGAGACATAAAGGAGAAAGCCCTGTACGGTATTTTTTCTGGTTTTTTTGCATCAACAATTATTAGGAACAATTTAGATTCTTCACTGAATGAGCAGGATTGTGTCAGGGGCAGCATGACCAAAGCAGCAGGGCTTTGGAGGTGTAGACCGAGGTCTGACACAGCAGAGAGTGATGAGGATGAGGGATTCCACCTGGAGTGGAATCGAGCAAGTGGGGTTTTAGAAGAGGATTCACTCCATGCATATAGCACAGGGAGTGACAGAGGGTTCCAAACACTGATGAACTCTGAAGCCAGGGGGATGTTGCAGTCACCACTCCAGGTGCTCAGTTCTTAGGAGCTGGACACCAGCCAACAGCTAGAGACAAGGGACACGTGTCTGAGTGTCCAGAGGATAAGGCTGGGGCAGAGAAAGATCCAAAACAGCTGATTTTCAAGTTCCAGAAATTACAAGAACAATAACCAGGAACTAACTTATCAGCCAGTTATAACTGGGCCACCTGACAAGGGTTCGCAGAGGTTGGTGCCCAAGATGCTATGGTTATCTCAAGCTTTTTGATGTAGGACTGAAGCAGCAAGATTTATTCAATACAACCATGTCTGGAGGGGTCCTCCTTCTTGTGGTGAGGGGGCCACATGATTGAAATTAAAATCTTGTAGGGAAATGATGGCAGTTGCTCAAAAAGTTAAACATACAGTTACCATGTGTCACCAACTCCACTACTAAGTGTGTACCCAAGACAATCGGAAATACATCCATACTGGCAGTTATTCTTCTCCAGGCCTGTCCGCTCTCCATTCTTGAGAATGTACTGTCCTACTTTAATAAATTCACCGCTTGTTTGGCTAAAAAAACCCCAAAATACATCCATACTAAAACTTCTGCAAAAATGTTCATAACAGCATTATTTTTTTGTAAAAAAAAATGCAAAGAATACAAGTATCCATCATCTGATAAATGGATGAACACAGCATTGTATATCCATCACTGATATATTGTTTGGCCATGAAAAGGGATGAGGTACCAATGCTTGCTGCAACATGGAAAAACTTTGAAAACAACATGGTGCATGAAAGAAACCAGATAACAAAAAATTCCTATCATATAATACCATCACATAAAATGTCGAGAACATTTATATTGATAGAAACAGAAAGTAAATTTGGTTGCCAAGAGCTAGAGGGGACAAAGAATGTGGAATGCTGTGAAAGCATATAGCATTTCTTTTTGGACCATCAAAATATTCTAAAATTAGAGTGTGGTGATGGTACAGAAATCTGTGACCTTATGAGAAATCACAAAATTTTATAGTTGAAAAAAATGACATTATGGTATGTGAATTATATGTCAATAAAGCTTTTATTTAAAAAAAAGTCTCGGGGGTGATCGGTTAGCTTAGTAGGTTAGAGTGTGGTGTTGATAACACCAAGGTTGCTGGTTCGATCCCCACATGGGCCATTGTGAGCTGCGCCCTCCTTAAAAGAGTCTCCCATGCCATTGTAACATGAAAGCAATGTGTAACCAATGACCATGGCTGTTCCCCAATAAAAGCTGGGCTTACAGCAAGCCCGGTTTGAAACACTAAAAACATATCTCCTGGAAGATGCACTGGATGGAACTGTATCAATTCGAGAGATACTTAGGGGGAGTCTTGAGAAGTGCAAACTGGGCCAGAGTTCGCAATCAGTACATTGGGATGGTTGTGGAACCAGGCTCTAGGAGAAATAATTAGAACTACTAATATCAGGCATATCAATGGGCCTGGGAGATGTAACAGGATGAGAGAGGGAGAGGGACATGACCAGGTGGCTGTGCCAGGGATTCTCCCTGGAGATTACTGAGGTGGGAGGTCTTTAGCTCTGTCAATCACACTGAGTTTGTGCACAGAACAAACCACAGCAGTGATGGCTAACCCCAGGTAGTCTCAGTGGTCACTTGCAGTAAGTCCACCAATTCCTCTCTGCCTGTGACTCTGGACAGGTCACAGATGCTCTCAGTCCCCATATCTGGTCATGTGTAAAGCAAAAATTTTAGACATATTTCTACCTTGATATCTACCTTGTTCTAGAATGAAATGTTCAAATTAAGTAAAAATCATAGCTGAATGACTGGCATATAAAAATACATCCAGTGGAAGTGAATTACTTTGCCACCACATGATGATGCCCCATTCGTTTACATTTTTAAACTGTAAAATCTAAGGCAGGAGATGATTCACAATTTCATCATTTTTGTCTTTCAGGATTGATATGTATGCAGAAGGCATGGCAGATTTAAATGAAATGTTCATACTTTTACCACTAAGTTCACCTGATAAAAAAGATGCGGAGATCAACCTTATCATACAGAGAGCAACAAATCGTTATTTCCCTGCCTTTGAAAAAGTAAGTGGGCTGTGCAGAGTTTGGGGGCACTGAGATTAGAGCTCAAAGAAAAATCCTGCCTGGGTGTTCCTGGGACATTGACCTTCCCCTCCAGTGAACCCTGCTAAATACTAATGTAGCAAGCACCCTGACTCTATAGGCATTTCACAAAAATCAGCTGAGGGCAATCGTACCTGTTACACCCAAGTTATTATCTTACACCCAAGTTATAATCTTTCAGCAAAATGTCAGTTTCCTAGGACCCAATCCAGAATTCCCTACTTGAGGGAATTTCATGATCATAGATAGAGTGTGGGCTGTGGGAGGAAGGCTCTGAGAGCCACATGGTGATTGGAGTAGATCCTGCAGAAACCTGTGCATGGGCTTTTCATTCAAGAGGAACCTGATGAAAGCAATTCATCAGAAAATATTCTCGCTACATTCATAGGAGGCATGAGTCCAGCTGCCTGCCTGTCAGGAGAATGCAGTTGTGTTTCAGGGATGCATGGGATGTATCTACACAGAGAAGGGGGCGGTGGGATGGAGAGGAAGACATAGGAAAAGATGTCAAGGAACAAATAATCTGCAAATGTTGTGGACATGGCTCTCAGACAATTGAGGAAAATCATGCAAAATGAAGAAAATAAAGTTCTAACGGTATACACAGTATGTATCTTAATGTTTCTCTCTGAATGCAGAAGAACACTTGAAGCTCAAAACTACCTGAAATCTTATTAAATTAAAATTATGGACCAAATAATGATTGTAAGAGAGAGATACAAGAGGCTTACCTATAAAGAAAAAGATTAACACCAACACACTCATCTTTATAAAGCATTAAATCATTCATTCACTCAGCAAACATGAATTTATTGCTTGTGTGTCAGGTTCTATTCAAGGGGCAAAGAATTTAATAGCAATCTGATCCTACACCCTCCTGGCCTGTGGTGCTGAGATTGGGTTCATTCACTTGATGCAAATCTAGACAGACATTGCAATATACGTACATCTGCACTTTGGAATCAAAGAGCCTCATGATGACATCACTGGAAAATGCATATTACAATAGAGCATTTCATGTTTTATTATATTCATTAATTATGTCCATACCTCAACATTCATATATTGGCTGAAAGGGTGTTTCCCAAAATGTTATTGTCTTTACTCAGTGGTCCCAAATGCGGTTTTTTCTTTATGATTTCCACATTGTTGAAAATATTTTAATAAGTATCACTTAATTTCTCCAATATTTAATTATGAAAAATTCAAACAGAAAAGTTGATAGATATGTGCAATAAACTCATATATATCCACCACCTAGATTCAAAAATCAATATTTTATAATTATATTTGTTTAACCATATATCTCCCCATCTCTATCTGTTCTAATCAAATATTATT